TGTATGGTAGGAGGAAAGGAGGTTTTCTGTATTGAAATGAACAAATGCTTATACAGTAATTCCTCATTAACACATGCCTGCTTAACACGTTTTCACGATAGCATGATTTTTTTTAGGGAACGTTTTTTGAATTACATGACCATCCCTGGAATAACATGATTTCCCCAGTTGGCCGTGCAAAGTGGTAGATGGTTCGCCGCTTGCCGTGCCATTCCCCGCTGACTCCCCTCTCCGGAGGCCTTGCCCCCTCTTCTCCGCCCCCGCTTGCAGGCCAGCAGCTGGGTTTCCTCAGCTGGCCCATTGCCGGCGGTTGCCCGGGGCTTCCCCCCCCTCCCCCCCGGGCTAGACACAGTGCGGGTCCCGGCAGACCCGTCACAGGGGCATACTCCCAACCGCCTCCCCTCTTCTCCCCTTCCCTTCCCCAGAGCCAAACACCTCCCCTCCCTGCTGTAACCCAGTCCCCTTTCTCCCCCAAACTTATGTCCCGGTCCCAATAGACACCACTGCTTGAAACACAACCCCCGCCTTTTCCATTATTTTTAGTGGGAAAATTGACCCCGCATAACATGTTTTCACTTAACATGATCATTTTCTGAAACATAGCTATAGTGTTAAATGAGGAATTACTGTAGTCCAGTCCTAGACATTTAAATTGATTTAAAATAATGTCTTGGAATTGCATATTAAAATTGTATCTGTGTTTGTAGTTGATGTCAAGTGGAATTTGGCAGAGAGGTGAAGAAGATGAAGGAGTTCATGGTTTCTTAATCAATGACATTAGGAAAGAAGTAACCAGAGCTGCAAAACTGGTAAGAATCAAGCTCTAGTATTACTGTTAATCACTCTTACTTTATACTTTAAACTCTAATAGATCTGGTTTGTAATGCATCTATAGATTTCTTTATTTTTTAAATTAAAGAATGATTTTTCTTTACAAATGGAAAATACTAAGCATAATATTTTCCATTCTTACCTATTGTGCTATGTTTTATATTTGATACATTATCTGGGCCCTTATATCCTACTTTCAAGTGCTTGAATTCTTATTTATAAATGATTGTATATATCAGCAAGTGTATGTGTGTCTAGATATATAGAAAATATTGACAGTGGAACTTGACTGATAATTGTTACAGAAAAGGCAAGAGACTGATTGAGACGCAATAGGAATATTTCATTTTCAGATCTCCAACAGGTTAGGTATAAAATGGATCAGAGTTTTGAGGACTAACTACAAATAACTGATAAAACAGAGGATAAAACAAACACTGAGGATGAAACAAAAACATTTGTTTTGGAAGTCTTCCTTGAATAGCTAAGCAGGAGCCAGTTAGAACAGGTGGTCTAAAATAGGCAGATTACCTCCATGGCTTCTATTGAGCTCCAAACTGTTTTGTTGATAGAATTAACATATTGTAATAATGGCGCTGCACTAGTACACCAACCTTCAATACCATGATTAAAACACTGCCAACTTATTTGTCAGTTTCTTTAAGTCTTTGAAAAGTAAATAAAATAGAAATATCCCTTTTTCTCTTCTCTGTCAAATTTCTTTTGTTAATGTTATAATTCCTGCAATTTTAGTTGGACTTGAGTTTTAATAGGCTTTCATTTGTAAAACTTTCTCTTAGACATGTAATATCTGTAAGAAAAAAGGTGCATCAATTGGATGTGTAGCACCCAAATGCAAGCGAAGTTATCATTTCCCTTGTGGGGTTCAAAGGGAATGCATTTTCCAATTCATGGAAAACTTTGGGTAAGTACTTTCTTGCCAGGTATAATTTATATTTTTTACTGAATTGGAAGTGCTCCTTTTTGAAATACACCTGTTCTTCTTTCTCCTACTAAAAAGGGGAGTGGTCATTGGTCTCCTAGTTTTCTATTTTGGACAAGAAAGAACTCTGCTATTTTTCTTACAGTTCAGAGGATCACATTTTGAAGTGTACTGTATTTTGTTTACATTTTTCTCACTTTGTGCTTGGGCCTGAGGTGGGTGGAATGCCTGAACCAAGAAGCAGGGAGTGGATCTTCTAATAGCCATCCCATTACTACAGTACTACTATATTTTTGAAATAGCTTTTCAATGATTTTAGGGTGCAACTAAATGTTAGCACACACTTTAATGTTCTATATAAGAACATGAAGAATTACATAACTTGTAAACAACACATTTTTATATGGAACCAGTGAGATTCACTTTTAAAATCTAACCCTAAAGGTGTTTTAGAGTATACCCTCACTTTTAAAATTTCTTTTTTTCTTTCTTTCTCAAATTCTGTTAAATCTTGGTTTTTGTTTTGTATCATGTTTTTTTTTAATGTTATGTGGGCTTGTTTTTTTTTTTTTTTTAATGTTATGTGGGCATTCTGGAATTCAGAGATTAAAAAATTAAAATACAATAACAAAGCAATGAATTTAGTTATTTTGAGTAGGCAACACTGTTTTAAGGACCAGAAATGCTTTAGTTGACCAATGAAAAATCTTTGGTGTTTTTAATAATCTTTTTGAACAACTGATCAGGAATCAGAATCTGTTTTCTTGCTCTTATATTACTTTGTGCGTGATTATTTTTGCATGTTGAATTTAAGGTTTTTAACTTCTAAAGTATTTCTAAACTAAATGTGTGAAAAACTAAAATTAGTGAAGCCTGCAGTTATGATCTAGGATATGAAGTTACTCTTTAGTATTAATAACAATAGATTGTTTTTGAAGGTTAGTGTCATTAAGCAAAGCTTTGATTTTTCTAATTAAGGTCATATTGTTGGGAGCATCGGCCAGTTCAGAAACTTCCATCTGGTGAATCTAGAGGCTCTTCACAATGTACAATATGCTTGGAATTTGTTGAGCGCATTCCACTGTACAATGTGCTGAAGAGTCCTTGTTGTAAAAATGCTTGGTTTCATAGAGACTGCTTGCAGGTAAAACAACCTTTTATTGTGATTCTCACAATGTTTTATTTTGTACTTGGAGTGATAGAACAAATTAAAGTTTACATTTTTATTTTAATATTCAATAAATGTACTAAAGCAACGTCAACAATAAAATCTAACTTCATCTAGGGATTCTGTTGATTTAGAGGTCTGGGAAAAAATAACTAAAATAATCTTCCCAATCTTGCAGTATCTAAGAAACTTTTTTAAAAGACCTTTCAGATCTTTACTCTTCATCTTCAGGAAGCTTCTGTAGAAAGAAAAGTCTGTTGGGACTGCACAAATGCCCTTTTTCAGCCCTGAACATTCAGAGCCTATATCCTAAAAGGATCACGTGGCCTTAGTTATTTCTTTTCCTTCATTTCCATGACTAGATATGGGTGTAGAAATCTTCTCTCCAGATCTAGAGTGAATTGGAGAGAAAGTCATTGAAAGGAAACCACATGGTCTGGAGATGGTCTTATAGGCCCAGCCTCTGGATCAGCCATTTACCCTTGTGAAAAAATAAAATAGACCACCTCTAGCTTCAAGGTGAGACCCAACTACAGTGATCCTTGCACTAAAGAAGTCCATGCCAAAACAGCATGTATGAATGCAATGCCCAATTTTCAATAGATACCATGACCTCATTAGCTCCAAAAGGATGGAAACAGAGTAAATGTTAATAGTTCTAATTTTCTTTTCTGTTTCTGATACAGTATCAAGCTCTGAGTGCTGGGATATTTTTCTTTAGGTGTACAGTGTGCAATAATAAAGACAAATTTCAGAATGAAATGTTGAGAATGGGAATACACATTCCAGAAAAGTAAGTAACTTCCAAAAATTTTGCAAATATCCATATTGTATATTCCACCCTAACTAGGATAACAAAACCAAAACCATGTATTTGCTTACACAGCATAATTCAATTATCATTGGATTTGTGGATTTCTTCTGGCAATGAGAGCAGTTTATTTTTTTTCTTAGATACGATCTATGTCTTCAGATTTGCAGAATACAGGTTGAATCTCTCTAGTCTGGCAACATCCTAACCACAGATGTTTCTGGAACAGAAAACCCCAGCCACAGAGGTCACCAACGGTTGGGAGCTCAGCTGGTCTGATAGCAGGCAGCCCTCGGGGCCAGTGTCATTGGGACAGGGAGCCTGGCCAGTGTGCCAGCAGCTGGGAGCAAGGAGCTCTGCCAGCCGGGGGCAGGGCTGGCAGCCCAAATTGGAGCCCCACCAGCAGGCTGGAAATAATGCACTACCTGGGCTGGCAGCCAAGAGGGGAGCCCTAGGAAAATTCAAGCAAACTCCCTTGTTCAGGACTGCTCAGGTTCTATGGGATGAGACCAGGGAGATCCAACCTGTACTAAAGTAAGAGGCTACAAATGTGTAGGATAGAGATATATTACTACTAAAGTCTAGAGATAATATTTAATGTTGATAAGTGTAATGTGTTATCATTAGAAACTTATTTAAATGACCAAGATATTTTTAAAATATGGGCAGTTCAATTTAATACGGGAAAGCAGCTGCAGTGCCCAGAACTTCTCTCGTATCCACTCCATGCTGTATTTTCTTCACTTTTTTTGGTCTGGCCAACCTTTGCTATCATTCCCTTTATACAGTAGAATCTGAGTTATGAACACTAGAGTTATGAACTTACCAGTCAACCACACATTTCAATTGACTTGGAAGTACACAGTCAGACACAGCAGAGACAAAAAAGTAAATACAGTACTGTGTTAAACACAAACTACTTAAAAAAAGATTTGACAAGATAAGGAAACCATTTCTGTACTTGTTTCATTTAAAGAAGATGGTTAAAAGCAGCATTTTCTTCTGCACAGTGATATTCCAATGCTGTGTTAAGTCAAATTAATTGTAAACTTTTGAAAGAACAATGTTTTGTTCAGTGTTCATAACTCAGAAGTTCTGCTGTAGCCAGGGCCTTGCTGTCTTCATTTCACTCTCTGGACTCTGCTGAGGACTTTGCTCTTTTTTTTTTTCATCTTTTTTTTTTTTCCCTTAACTCAACCCTTAAGAGTACTACTACAAAAACTATCAGTTCTACTTCCAGAATTGGAAAATATTATTTTTAGTGTTTAACAATGATTAATCCATGCATGCTAGGAAATCTGTTTTAGGATTTTGTACTTCTGTGCGTCACTATAGTATCTAAATTCCTTTCACATAAATTTGTAAAGGAAAACAAAAGGTTGGGAACAAGAGGTTCAAACTAAGGTTGCTAAAATATTGGAATAATTTCTCAAAAAAATTAGATATTTTCTCTAAAGTTGTTAAATTCTGTAAAACATGGACTTAGTTCAGAGGACAATTTTGAATAAAAATAGACTCTTAATTAGGGATGTTTGAGTGTAAACAACTAACTGTTTAATGAATAAGTGGATGCTTATCAGTTAACAGTGTTGTTTATACTGATCAATGCCACTAGAAGGGGTTGGTGGCCCTGCTCCCAGGGAGGCTTCACTCTGCGCTCTGGAGTATAAAGCTTAGCAAGGTTTTCAGCTATATCATTACCCTAATACACTATTTTTAACAACCCTGTTGTTAATCCAAAAAGGTTCTTCTTTCTCCTTCATCTTAATGTTACTACATGCTGGATGTTTGCATTATGTAATGATGTCAAGCATATGTACATGCTTTAAGAACTCCAATTTTACTATGTGCCTAAGGAAAATAAAGTTATTTCAGTACATAAATATAAAATGTTTTTATGCATGTTTGCAATATTTACAGAGATGCATCCTGGGAACTTGAGGAGAATGCATATCAAGATCTTCTGCAGCGTTATCAACACTGTGACGCTAGAACTTGTCTGTGCAAGAATGGGAGAGACTATAGTAAACCTGATAGGTATTAATATACACACACAATTTTTCCGGACAGATATGTTGAATGTAATATGATGGGTATGGTATATTAAGTGAACGTGTGACACATAGAATGTTGAAATGTCTTTTTAAAAATAAACAAGGTGGATTGATTTAAATCAAGCCAATTTAAGTCATTGATTTAAATCACTAAAAACAAATAATTGATTTTAAATCAAGTTTGCCACTAATACTACCTCACATTTCTGCAAACAATGTTGCAAATCTGATCACTAAAACAAGTTATTTTACACCTCGGCATAGCATTTTACAACATCTAAGAGCATATACTTTGTGCGGGTTTTTTTAAGATAACTTGATTTTTGTTCATTTAGGAAATAGCACATAATACTGATTACCTGTGTCAAGCTGCAGATGCAGCAGCAGTACATTAGAAACGGTAAGAATTAAATCATACACACCAACACAATACCACTTATATTTTATTAAACTAAATCTTAAATGTCACATAAATGTTTCACATTTGCTATTGCAGCAGTCTGAGTTGTCAGCTAATGGCTGTCCTTAAACTCTCTCTTTAAACATTTTTCAAATTTTATTAACTCTAGCAGACAAAATGTCTGGCAGCACTTTATAGACTAACAAAACATGTAGATGGTATCATGAGCTTTTGTGGGCACAGCCCACTTCTTCAGATGACCACGAAAGCTCATGATACCATCTACATGTTTTGTTAGTCTGTACAGGATAAACTTAAAAAACAACAAATGGTCTGGTAGCACTTTATAGACTAACTCAGCTACCCCCCTGAAGCTTCTAACAGACAAGTTCTCAGAGCACTTCCACACTGCTGCTGTCATTTTAATGTGGATCTGATTCCAAATTGCCAAAAAGGCAAAGACTGACTGCTTAGAGTGCACTTAAATATTGGGGTAAGCTTAATTGAAAACAAGTATAAGATGGAGTTTTTTTGGGAATACTGAATTATGCTGATGTAAAATAGGGAATAGATTTATGACATCACTATTATGGTCTGTGACAATGATGTTCCAAAAGAAGGCATGGATTATACAGTATAAAATAAGAAAATGATATAAGTAGCAATTGGCAACTTGAGACTTCTCTTTTTTCAGCATCATATACTTGAGTGATGAATTCTAAACCTAGTTAACTAATTAAACAAGCTATAAAAATTATCAAGCTAAATTTTTTTTCTAGCAACATCCAATATAGCAAACAGCTTGGGAATTTACTTATACTAAAAGACAGAGAGAGAGTGTCTGGAAGAACGCTGCATTGTAAAGTCAGTCCACATTGGTTTTTCAGACATAGCCACATCTTCAACCACATAATTTTCTCCGAATAAGCAGTTTTACTTACGATGTTTTATTCTTGCAGGTAGGCCCTGTATCTTATTGCACTCCTTACACATGTTTCTGTTTTTCTCAGGGAATCGTACATTCAGAAGCCATGACAGTTTTTCTGTAGCAAAAGTGTAGAGGAATATAAGGAGCTATGTGCATGCTAAACAATGTCTTCCGATTTTCCTTCTGGTCCAGTCTTCTGTTCCTGTCTATGCTGCCTCTGTCCTTTACTATATATTGTCTTTAGACAATATCTTAACTAATTCCATCAGGCTTGGCTCAGGTCCACAACCATATAAGCACAGAACAAAAACAATCCTATTCAATCTGTTTTTGTTGGGGATGTCAACACGTAGACTACTACATGATTAACTGATAAGTCCCTGCTTATTGGTGAATCTTGTTGACTACATGCATTCCCCGCTCCCCCCCCCTCCCCCCCCAAATCTTGCTGCCTCTGTATCAGAGGCAGTGGGGGTGAGGGAAGGGGAACCAGTGCCCGTGAGGAAGTGGGAGCTGTGAGGATCCAGCTTAGAAGCTGGCTCCTCCTCAGCACTGGAGGGAGGTGCAGAGCTCAGTTTGGATGCAGGAGGAGGGAGGTGACAGGAACTGAGGCTAGACTCAAGAGGAAGGAGAGAGGGGGATGAAATCAGAGCTGGTCTCAGCAGTTCTGTGAGGTTTGGGGGGGAGGTGCAGGGAAATGGGGCTCAGCTGTGCTGGGGGGGAGGCATGCAGGGAACCAGTGCCAGGCTCAACATGGCTGAGGGGGATGGGGGAAGGCATAGGGAACAGAAGGGCAGCTCATCTGGGCTGTGAGGGGCTGCAGGGAACTGGCGCTGTACTCCCTTGGATTGTGGGGGATGGTTTTGGGGGAGGTGCAGGGAACCAGTGGGAGTGGGCAGCTCACTTGGGTTGCAGGGTAGGGAGGTGCAAAGAAGCCTAATGGGGATGCGGGGAACCAGGAGCCCTGAAATCAGCTCCCCTGGTCCAAAAACATCCCTCTTCTGGGACCAGGGAGGTCCAACTCCTACTGAAGTCCTCTCCTTGCACCCTTCCTCCTAGCCAGATACCCTACCCCCAATCTGCTCCTGTTCCCACCTCCCCAAGTGCCCGTGCAGTGCCGAGTCCTCCAAACCCTGGCCCAGGCTGGATGGAGGATGCAGCTGTGTGAAACAGTGAAAATTTATTCATTTTTCATTCTTTTTTTTAATATGCATTTATATTTTTGGGCTTCAAATAACAGTACTGAAAAAAAACAGGTTCCAACTAAAGTAAAAAGTTTGGGAAACCCTGGTCTAGCCAGCTTTCTATCCATCTTACAGTCCATTTATCCAATCCATATTCCCTTGCTGGCAAGAATATTGTTGGTGACCGTATCAAAAGCTTTGCTAAAACTGGCACTGGGGGCTTTAGAAGGACCAGAAACAACTTACTTGCATATTCATCATTTGCTTAATGAATATGCAAATGAATGTTACTGGTCCTCCAAAAGCTCGTGAATGGATTTATTGGCGCCTGTGTCAATATTTGGGAACCCTGTATTTGGGAACCCTGATCTACATGTTTTGTTGGTGTTTAAGGTGCTACTAGACTATTTGCTGTTTAAGCTTTTTCCTATTACAGACTAACTCAGCTACCCCTTTGAAGCTTTTTTGTATTCAAGCAAGCTGTTACATTTCTGCATTAGAGAATGAAACAAATTAACCAACAGCAACATTAACAAAATATTTTTTTACAAAAGCTATTTTTAGGGGGGTTTTTTTGTTTCTCAAGAAATTACAAACAAGTTACTAGGCTAGCAGGCTGCTATATTTTTGCTTCAGAGAATGAGATCAGTTAACTAGCAGGCAGGCTGCTACTTTCTGCTTTCCTGGAAACAGACTTGCCTGCGCATGGTAAATGGATCTATCCCCCTTCAGACCCAATGAGCCACAGTAGCAAGTGAGAGGGACAGAGGCCTTGTCTGCACTGGTACGTTTTGTTATTAAAAATTGCCTTTTGGCAATAAAATAGTGTATTTACACTGCAATGTAACTTCTGTCAGAAAAAACACCTAGTTTTGGTGACAAAACACTTCCACCCCTGTCAGAGACTTTCACCCCTGTTTTGTTGAGTGCTGGCTTCTGCCAGTATCCTACAATGCCTACCCTGATGGCTATGTTCAGTGTTTTGTGATCTCTGCTGCTCTGCAGGCATGCACCACTTCCCTTTCAAAGCTCTGGGAAATATGTACGGGTATGTCTACACAGCAAAGTTAATTCGAAATAACTTTGCTATTATTTCGAATTAACTTTAATAGTGTCTATATGTGCAAACTGCTATTTCGAAATTAATTCAAAATAGCGAAGCACATATTTCAAATTTTGTAAACCTCATTGTACGAGGAATAACGCCAAATTCGAAATAGCTATTTTGAATTAACTGCTGTGTAGACACTTAATTCGAAATAGGGGACCTCCAGCCCTTCCCAGGGAGCCCTGGTGGCCACTCTCGGCACAACCAGGAAAAATCCTCCCCTCTCCCCCAGCCCAGGGGCCCTTAAAGGGGTAGAGTCTGGCTACTGGGCATGTGCGAGCCAGAGGCCTGCTTGCAGAGAGCCAGCACTTCCAGCCTTGCACCAAGTGGCCCTGTGATTAGCTGGGCAGCCAGTGCCAGCCTGGTGTCCCCTGCTCAGTTCCTCAGCTACCAGGGGCTGTAGACCATGTGCGCCCACTTGGACTGGTGCGGAGATCATGGACCTCATTGAGGTTTGGGGGGTGGCCCCCAATGTCCATGATCTCCGCACCAGGTGGAGGAACGTGGCCGTCTATGGCCGCATAGTGGCCACCCTGGCCACCAAAGGCGACAGGTGCACATAGGAGCAGCTGTGCCTCAAAATAAAGGAGCTGCGGCAGGCGTATACCAGGGGCGGCGCTGTAGCAGGGGCTGATACCTGCTCCTACTTCCCTGCCCTCGACCGCATCCTGGGGGGCGGGACGGTCTGCGCCACTCCGGGGGGCAGCGAGCCAGGACCGGAGGTCCCTGACCCAGGCGCGGCAGAGGGGCCAGCACAGAGGGTGCCATGCCAGCAGGACCCCCGAGCTGTCCCGGCAACGGAATCAGTAGCGTCATCAAGGGAGGCCACACCAGGTAAGTGCCTTCACTGTCCCCTACCCGGTGGGGAGGGAGACCAGGGACTGCATGCGTGGGCCATGGATTGCGCAGCCACCTGTGCACATACGGTCACGTGCCATGCCACCCTTGGGCAGGTGGCTGCAGCTGTGTGCCACATAGGCTGTGGCCTGATAGCCACACGCATGTGTGAAGAGACCTGACATGCTTCTGACCCCGGGGTGGGACCCAGCAGGATGCCCTCCCTTCACATGCCCCCTCTACACAGAGGCAGGGGACATCTCCCCTCCCGCCTTGGCCGCATTATACACGGCACAGGGGAATGGGTGTGGTCTTGGCAGCTCCCACTCTCAGGGAGAGCCAGACATCCCGACAGTGGCCTCTGTGCAAGCACATCCGCTCTGACAGTACAGGGCATGGTTGTCCTCACCTTGTAAGGGGCGCTGGGCATCATTCACTGTGTCCCCAGGGAGAACTGACCACTCCCCTTCTTTCTCCATAGCCGCACCACCTACACATGCACCAACCCACCCAGGACAGCCTCCTGCACCCAAGGGCTCCTCCGGACCACCAGCACATGGCAGGGGCATTGGGACCAGCACCTGGGGGACTGGGTACCACCATCCAGGACTGGGTACAGGAGGACCTGCAGTTCTGCTGTGATCTGCTTGTCCATGGCTGTGCCATGTGCTCACACCTGCAGGCCCTGTTGCAGAGCATTCTGCCCCAGCGCCTGCTGCCCTCCCACCTACTGTTCCTCCTCCCACTCCTGCCCACCTCTCCCTCCTCAGCCTCCACACCCTCCTCATCAATATCCACACTCCCCACCTCAACCTCTGCACCCTCTTCCCCATCCCCCTAGGGACACCGAGGCCCCCTCCCCCATGGTGCTGGGAGGCAGTTTGCCCTGCTAGACCCCCCACCAGCGCCTCCTGCCCCCCCACCTACTGTCCCTCCTCCCACTCCTGCCCACCTCTCCCTCCTCAGCCTCCACACCCTCCTCATCAATATCCACACTCCCCACCTCAACCTCTGCACCCTCTTCCCCATCCCCCTAGGGACACCGAGGCCCCCTCCCCCATGGTGCTGGGAGGCAGTTTGCCCTGCTAGACCCCCCACCCCAACACCCTCCTCCCCATCCCCCCGGGGACGCAGAGGCCCTCTCCCCCCGCAGTGCTCGGAGGCAGTTGGCCCGGCCAATCTCTCTCCCCTGAGTGCTGAGCTTTCCCTCCCCATTCTTCCCCCTTCCATCTCCCTCCTCCAAGGTTTCCCCTCCCCTCTCCTGCCACCCTTCCCCAATCTCCCCAGAGGTTCATCCTCCCCAATTTTGTACAATAAACCCAGTTCATATTTTTGAACATACACGTCTTTTATTTGATATCAGGAAGGGGGGAGAGGGTCTAGGGAGCAGTCAATGGGAGGATGTGAGGAAAGAATGAGGCATGAGCCCCTGGTGGGGGAGGACTGGGGACGCTCTTAGTGCCCCTTGGGGTGCAGGCTCTCCAGCAGGGCCTCCTGGATCCTGACAGTCCCCGCTGGACCCCCCAGATGGCAGCCTTCAGCGAGTGCAGCCAGGCTGATGGCAACGACCCCACAGGATGCACGGCATGTCCAGGGGCAGCTGTGACTCCATGTGGCTGAGTGCTTTGCTGTCCCTTATCAAGGTAGACAAGGTTACAGAGAACCCTGAGAACTGTCTGTCCAGGGTGGGGGGAGGGTCCCTTTAAGCAAGGAGCTCAGTTAGCGTGTGGGGCTGCTGCCTGAGGCTAAGTACTAACCTGATGCCTTGCCGGCACTGGTTCCAGCCAGCTTTAACTTTGGTTCAGGGTCCACTCTGTGGATGCACTATTTCGAAATAGCAAAACACTGTTTTGAAATAGGTTTTGTGTATAGATGCATTATTTCGAATTAGCTTATTTCGAATTAATGATTTCTAAATAAGATAATTCGAAATAGCGCTGTAGTGTAGACATACCCTAACTGCTGAGAGCTGCTCCCTTTGGAAAACAACTAGTAAATCATTGGAATGCTTCGTTCTGCTGTGCACTGCGAATACAGCAATAAGCAGACTGCTACTGCAGTGGGAGCGCTGGAGAGAGTGCTATGCTGCTTTGACATTCCTCAGCGTAGAGAGCTCACAGAGCTACAGGGGAATCCTAAGCAGCACAGAGATCAGTTCTACCTGCTTACAACACTGCACTGTGGAATACTTACCCACATTACTTTTCTCTATGCAATGTTGACAATGGGAGGCAGAAAAAAAGTTTGACCAGTTTTTACTGTTGGTGACTTCTGCATGTTGATAGCACTTTTGTCACCAAAACTTCCCAGTGTAGGCACAAACAGAGTCTCTGTCTCTTTCTCTTTCAATGTCAAGCCCCTTTCCAACATAGTGATCTGCATTTCTGAGGCTGCTCTGAGCATGCTGGAACAGATGCGCTGCTTGGGCAGTTGGGAAAGTGGCACGTATCTCCCCATAAATTTATTTTCACATTTTTCTGCATGGAAGTGGGCAAATACATATGCAAATTATGAGAGTTCTGTGAACCCACAGACGCATAAAATTCTGTCAGTACTGCCTGCTGTTTTCAGCACTGTTGGTAATCTTCTTTTACAGGGCCTTCACGATACTCTCCTCTCAGTTTCCCTCCCACGTTTGACCATTTGTTCAGAATTTATTTCAATGGGTTTTCCTTCTTTTTCCGTTAGATAGCCCCACGAATTTGTCCTTTTTTTTTTCTTTGTTTAGAAAAAAGTTTAATTGCTTATACTTGTTTTATCTGTCTTCTTTTTATTCTCCTATCTGCCTGTCAACCCATTTGTCTCTGTCTATCCGTTCTCATACTTTAGCCTGTGATAACTTAAAATTCCTAAATCAATTCCATCTCTTTCCTCCAAATTACTTTTCAGTTCACCCTTTCTCATCACTCAACAATGTTCAAGCATCTTATCTCTGCCTACAAATTCCTGTTTTATTTGCTTTTGTATCAGTTTTCATCACCAGCCATATACCTTCTGCTTTACCTTATTTAGTCTACTTGTTGCGTTCTTTCATAAATGTCTCAGTATTCTCATCCACAGTTCCCATCAGTATGGAACTTTTCTGAGCTGAGCAACACGGCCCCTCCCCTCTCCACATTTAAATTCCTCTGGAAAACCTTTTATGTTATACTACCTATTGGAAATATACTTGACTTAAACTGACAAAATTGTAAAGATGTAGCTAAATACAATGCTGACTTATTCTATTTATATATACACTACCTTGTAATTGTCTTAGTTTGTGAGTTCTGTTGAGCATGCTTTTCCGTTTTTTTTTTTCTGGAAAGCCTCTGGCACAGCGGTTCCCAACCTTTTCCAGATGGGGACCCATTTTGACAATTCAAGAAGACTTGGTGACCCAAGGCAATTAAAAAATGGAGGGCAGAGCTACCTGGGGAGACATTTGGTGACCCTTTTGAAATGTAACAGCGACCCATCTTTGGGTCCCAACCCATAGGTTGGGAAACCCTGCTCTAGCACACTATGGGCACTACTGCAAACAAAAAAGATCTAGGCAGATACTTAACAAAAATATGGCTAAATGTTTTTTACAGAACAGTCCCAGCTTTTGGAAAGTGGTGAGGTTATCAGATATTGCATCTTCCAAAATATGATTTGGAAATAACAGCCAGAGGACTTTATAAAAGCTGAGCCATGGATCACAGAAAGTAGTGAAGGGGATACTGACTGTGAAAATTGGTTTGCTTAAAATGTTACATAGCCTCTTTTAAAAAAGGATATCCTGAAATGGGGACTAGCATTCTAATCACTCCATTCAGAATTCGGCCTGATCTACACACTACACAGTTAAGTTGATGTGTCTGCACTACAGCCTTGTCCTGCCAATGTGAGTGCCCTACTACGTTGTTATAACTCCACCTCCATGAGAGGCATAGGACTGGTGTCAATGTAGTTAGGATGATGTGATTCTTGTACAAATACTGTGATATTTGCCTGAGTTGTTAGCCATGAAATTGACAAGAAAGACCTACATCTAGAGCACAGCTGCTTTCTTCCCCTCCCCTCCGCCCCCGATCCTTGGAGAGCCGTGTGTCTAGAGCCCACTCTCGTAGGGAGCTGTAGTGAGAAGCCCAGGAAAGTGGGCCCTGTTCCTGGCTGGGAATGGGAAGACAAGACGCTCTCAGTTCTCCAGACTGCACCTCTTGGATCACTGGAAGTACGCCAGTGGTGTCTGTCAGGTGACCTAATATAAGTCAATGTAAGTTTTTAGTGTAGTCATACCCTTAGTGTGAACTGGGAGTGAACCTTTTTTGCAAGAGGATACTGTGCAAACCAAGGAGATAACTATGCATCATTTAACTAGAGTACAGTAAATAATATGGGATTTGTGTTTCGGTTGGTGGATCAGACTTACTGCTGAATAGCCTTCGTTTTTATTTCTGTTGTTCCTCTGATAATTCTAAATACAGTATATTTTTTCTTTTAGTAAATGGGAAATCAAACGCTGTCAGTGTTGTGGTTCCTGTGGAACTCATTTGGCCTGTTCTCCAATGCAGTCATGGGAAGAAAACTGGGAATGTATGGAATGCAGAAGTATCTTCGCTAAGTCAGGTAATATGAAATGCTGAGACATTACTTACTTTGATTTTTTTTTTTTTTAAACATTTGTCTTGGGGTAACTTGACACGAGTATATTTTTCAGAAAAATAATGGGGATTTAATTATACAGGGTATTATCAAAACCAGAAAAAACGCTCCTTGACTAACTCAGAAAAAATAGACGTTACTGGTCGTTTGTTGGAAGAGCCCTCTCCCAAGTGCCCCAGACAATCACCTGGATCCCAGCACAGCTTTCATCTCAGGTGTGTAATGTTGCATGGGGAGGAAGCAGCTGCTTGAAAAACTTAAAGTGATTTATAATATGAAATAGAAGAGAAAATTTGTTTTATGAAGTCTGTTTATCATCCTGCAACAAATACTTTCTTTACTGAATTGCACAATTATGCATCCATATTTGAGTAAAGTAGTCAGTTGTGGTACGTGTTTCATGAATTGACCATAAGATTCTAGTATTAGTTCACAAACCAGAGGCTGGTATGCAAATTTGTCTTTTTTTAGAGTTAATAATCCTTTCGATGAGCATTAAATTATATTCCTCCACAAAAACATTGTTAAAAGAAACGTAAATATTTAAGTTAGGGACATTTTTAGCTGATCGGTATTTCACATACGTTTTAATACTACAATGGAAAATTAGCTCTTAAAATATATACAGAATTTCTTTACTAATAAAGTAATATGTCATAGTTCCATTGCAAAATTAAAATAAATGCAACTGATATGGTTCTCGTAGCAACTGAAATATTAGTTTATAAGGGCTTGTAGCTCAAAAATATGGGACTGCTTTTATTACTTTTGAATGTATAAAGTGCTTTCATTTACTCTTTAGGCAGTTCTAAGAATCTCTTGCCTGCAGTATGTCATGATATTTTGTCTGCTTGTTTTCTAAACAATTAATGAAAGCACTTATAAAGATCAGACAGGCTGGAGGAATACGTTTTGTTTTCAAATGGATTCATGTGAATCCCACTATACGGGCACACATGCCTTATCAGATTCTTTTGCCTAGCAGTGTCCATTAAGGTCATACATGTCCCTTGAGCTGTCATAAAATCATAGAGGATTAGGGTTGGAAGAGACCTTAGGAGGTCATCTAGTCCAGCCCCCTGCTCAAAGCAGGACCAACCCAAACTAAATCATTACTGCTAGGACTTTGTCAGGCCTGGCCTTCGAAACTATGGAGATTCCACCATGTACATAGGCAACCCATACCAGTGCTTCACCACTGTATTAGTGAAATAGTTTTTCCTAATATCCAACCTAGACCTCTCCCACTTCAGCTTGAGACCATTGTTCCTTGTTCTGTCATATGCCACCATTGAGAAGAGCCTAGCTCCATCCTCTTTGTAACTCCCCTTCAGATAGCTGAAGGGTGCTATCAAATCTGCCCTCTTTCCTCTCTTCTGCAAACTAAATAAGACCAGTTCTATCAGCCTCTTATCATGTCACATTTTTGTGACTAATCATTTTTGTTGCCCTCCACTGAACTCTCTCTAATTTGTCCATATCCTTTCTGCAGAGGGAGGTCCAAAACTGGACATGGTACACTAGTGTGGCCTTGCCAGTGCTGAATAGAAGGGATTAATCACTTCCCTTGATCTCCTAGCAAAGCTCCTATTAATGCAGCCCACTATTCCATTAGCCTCCTTGGCAACAAGGGCACACTGCTGACTCCTCGTATCCAGCTTCTCCATTACTATAATCCCCAGGTTAATGCAGAACTGCCTCTTAGCCAGTTGGTCCCCAATCTGTAGCAGTGCATGGGATTCTTGCATCATAAGTGCAGGACTCTGCATTTGTCCTTGTTGAACCTCCTCAGATTTCTTTTGGCCCAATCCTCCAACTTGTCTTGGTCACTCTGAACCCTATCCCTATCCTCCAGCTTATCTATCTTTCCACCCATTTTAGTGTCATCTGCAAATATGTTGTGTGCCATACAAGGGTATGAAGGGCAAAATGTCCACAATTCACCATTAGTTCCCACTTACCACCAATGGCAATGAGATGAAACCTGGGCTGGTTACACTGAGGAGTTATGAAGGCTTCTGACAAATGGAGGTGCCGTTGACACCTTGTAGATAGCACAGGACATATTGGCTTTACCAGTGCTGATGGCACTAGCGTTGGTGGTGTCATGGTTCTAGGGTAACCTCACATTGGGATCTTTTCAGGCATCTTTTAGGCAGCCCGGTTCCCTGACTAAGGGATCATCCCACCAGTGGACCCTTGCTCAAAGCACTGGGCCTTAGACATTGGGAGGCAGACTTTGCGAATGCCCTTTTAGTCCCCAAATTATGGGTGTCAAAGGCAGTACTCAGTGATGCTTGCTGGATCCATGGAGCAGACCTACTGAGGCGTACACTCTTTGGCATGGGCACTGAGATGGGTCCCCTGCATCTCTGAGGCCTTGGCATTGTTCCCAGGATCATTCAGATAAACAATGTCACAGTTGCACCAGGACTGGTCCTCTCTCACACAACTCCTGGTGGTCTCAACAGTCCTCAGGCCGCCAGACTCACTTGGACTCTTAGTCTCGCTCAGGGTTGTGGGCTCCCATCGCCAATCTGTCTGCCCCAGTGTTCTCAGAGGTCCCGCGGCAGACTCACCCTGCACAAAAGGATCCTCATCAGCTTGCAGTACTTAGTTTCCCACATGATGGTATCTAACGCCCTCCCTCTCCTGGTCGTTGGCAATGGGGCATGAGACCTCCGAAGCTGGCACAGAATAGGACTCCTTGCCACTGGGTCAGGCACCGGATGCCAACAGTGATGCCCCTCCCTTTGGCACTTCATCTCCTAGCATGGCTACAGGGATGCTGGTTGGTATCTACCTATCCCTGAAATCTGTGTGTGTTTACACTGACTGCCCAGCTGATGTTGGGGGTGTCTATAATATCATCAACTTTAGTGTTCTGGCCTTCCCAAGTAGGTACAGGCCTTTGAGGAGGAAATCTAGTAGATCAATAACTCGCCTCACAGGAACAAGGACAGAACTCATGACACTGGCATCGTCCTTCCCATATGATGCTATTGTGTGTTCCTCTTATCCAGTACCACAAGACTATAAAAAATGGCACCAGGAATTCCTTCAAAGGGTCTCCTTTAACTTGGATCTGCATGCAGAGGAACTCGAGGAGACAGCGGATGCCCTATTTGATGTATTCAATTTCATTGTGCCCTCCAAGATGGCTTTATCCCCTGAATGAGGAGTTTTTGAAAATCTCTACTATCTTCGGGCAAATTCCTTTGTCCTTGCTTCCCTTTTCTAAGAGGGCTGAATAGAAATATTTTGTGCCTTCAAAGGGTCATGAATACCTTTATACTTACCAAGCCCCTAACTCCTTGATGGTAGATGCAGTCAACCAGGATGATGTCAAAGAACAAAGACTCCAAGAGACAAGATTTGTTCAGGCAAAAAAAAATTATTAGTAAATTATTAGTCTTCCAGCCTCCATTTGTGGCTGGTGAATCACTGAACCCTCTTTGGCAACTATGATTTTAATATGAGTAGGACCATGGTGAAGTTTGAGGAATCGTTTCCTGAAGACTCCAGAGAGGAGTTTAAGGCAATTCTCGAGGAGGCATCAGACATGATAGATTCTGTAATGCATGATAGCATCAGCCATATCTATGCATCTGTTTGCTCTTGTCAGCAGTGACGTAGCAATACCTGCAGAGCTTCTTTTTTATGGGCATGCTCAGAGCAGTCTGGTTGGTCTGCCTGCTGCATCTGTCAGACAGATTAATGTGAGTCTTCGAACAACGGAGCCTCAATGTTCTACATGAGTAGGCAAGAAGGAATGCATTCGTCGGCTCTATGCCAAGAGGTGCAGCCACAACATCCTTCTGGAAATAGGTCACCTCTGGAGCCCAAAATGTCCTGGCAGATCACCTTACCATGGACTTCTCTCACTGAGTGGTCAGTCCCTTCGAAGATGGCCCATTTGATCTTCCAGAGATAGGGTCTTCTCTTCGTACACAAGAGGCAGCACCATCAGTTCTGCTCCTAACCATGGCAGGGCAGGAGTTCCCTCTCAGACACCTTATTTCTATCGTAGTTCAAGGGTCTGATGTATGTGTTTCTACCAATTCCTCTCATCAGCCGGGTCCTAGTAAGGACCAAGAGAGACAAAGCCTAGGTTATCATGATTACTCCAACATGGCCTTGCCAATGCTTGTTCAGCACTCTCATGAACATGGAGCTGTATCTTCCCTGGCCCCTTTCCAACAGGTTGGATCTGCTGCTGAAGGACTGCGGATGGGACCAGCACCCCAACTTCAAGTCCCTGCACCTCTCACTGTGAATGCTCCATGGCTTACCCAGCGGGAATGCACCTGTTGGGTGGAGAGCCAGTAGGCCCTTCAGGGAAGCAGGAAGCTATCCGTGAGACTTACCTAGCCAAGTGGACATGGTTCTCTCACTGGGCATCAGATCACAGCATCTTCTCATGCTCTCCAGTTAAATCCTTTCTGGACTACCTGCTATGGTTCAGAACCCAAGGTCTGGAGCATCTTGCAGCCTTCTCCGCATTCCACAAGCAGATACAGGGGCAGACAGTGTTCTCCCATGACATGACAGTCAGATTCCTAAAAGGTCTTGAATGGTTCTACCCATAGATACAAGACCCTGGCCTGAAATGGGACATGACCCTGGTCCTCTCCAGATTCACTGAGCCTCCCTTTCAGTTGCTGGGATCCTGCTCTCTTTCCTACTTGTTCTGGAAGGGTTCCTATCTGGTGGTTGGGACATCAGTGAAACAAGTTGGAGATTAAGGCTCTGACCTCAGAATGGCACTGTAAAAAATGAAAGTTGCATTTCTAGGGACAGATTTCCCCCCCACCACCCCTCACCACCCCACCTTTCCTAGTGCTGAATGGTCATGGTAATGTGGTTGTGCCCACAAAAGCTTATGATACCATCTACATGTTTTGTTAGTCTTTAAGGTACTGCTAGAATATTTGTTGTTTAAATTTTTCCAGTTACAGGCTAACACTGATACCCCTCTGAAGCTTTAGAGCATTTATAGAGTTCTACAACTATTAAATTATGTAAATGAGAGGAGAATCTGAGGAATGCAAGGTAAATCACTGATGAGACAACTTACTGCAGTATCTTCTAGTCACTGAGGCAATCATTTGGTTTTACCCACAAAAACTTCTGCCCTAACAAATCTTATGCCACAGGACTCCTCGTTGTTTTTGAAAATTGTAGTATAAAACCAGCTAGATTATAGTAGTAGTTTATAGTAGTGTAGCATTCTTTAAATCACACTTAAGGTAAACAGATCTACTCTTATTCATTCATTTGAAAATATTTACGTTAACTTCAGAATGAAAATATTTTGTAATAGCTTTTCCTTTTCCAGATCAACAAAGATGTTGTGCCAGAACAGCTTGACTCCTTGTACGTTATTAGACCTCCCAGCATCTAATAAGATGGCTATGTCCATATCCCCCCTGATCAATTCCTCATCAAGGAGTCTATCAGTAAGAAGAATGTAAGTTTAATATTTTTTATATTGAACAAGACTCTCTAAATACCTTTTGTAACCATTCTTTAAGATGTCCATTCCATTGCCCATTCCATTATCCGTAACTCATGTCCATTCCATTACCCATATTCTTGCCCCTCTGTCAGAGTTGCCAGCAAGAAGAAACTGAGGGCATAGTCACCAGCACCTAATATACCAATGCATGAAAATGGCACTCAATGGGGTATCGCAGCTGATCCTATTAAATACTGCTCAGGCAAAAATCTCTGATGGCCACGCTCATGCTAGAATGAAATCAGCGTGAGCAACACATTTCAAAAAACAACATTTATGAAACATTGGAAACTTTTTTAGTGTAACTCAGAAATAATTGAAATGGAGGGGTTTTTTAGTGCGATTTCTCCTCCTCCTCCCCGCTTCCCCTCCCCCCCACTCTCCAATATCAGTATGTGATTAAAGTGTTTATCTTTACTAGCTTCCAAAATATTCATATAACTTCCATCAGGACAATATATTCCAAGTCTGTGATCCTTTGTTGGGTTGACACTTGTCCAGGTTTTCCCTAAAATCATCCTTTTGAGGTAGCTGTCTTGAGAAATTTCCAAGTGTGTTTGGTATACATGACTAGTTGTCCAGTTTCAGGGGCTCAGGATCAGCTCAGATGAACTTTTTTTCCCTTTTTTGTACCACTGAGGTGACAGGGAATTATAGTCTCCAAGTAGGGCACATGATGGCAAAGTATCAGTCAAGCATAATGTGACTGCTTGCTGGAGAGTAGATAAAGGAAAATTCTTGGCTTGTTCTCAGGGGAACAGAAATTGAGGAAATGCCCTCAGAAGATTGTAAAGAAGAACTACCAAGAGGGAAGGGTCTAGTCTCTCTCTACCTCCCTGGTGGAAAGTGAGACAAGCCTCCATTACCCAGTATCTTGTATTACTTGGAGATTCTTTTGTTATTTAATAAAATCAGCCCTGAGAAGAGACATGGCACTAAACATGAATGTTTGGGCTTTATTTTGACTATTCCAGGTGGTGAATCTGCTCATTGGCTTGTAATGAGTGACAGAAACGTGCTAAAATGTCAGTATCCACAGATAGGGTGATGGATAAACTTTCTGATTCAGAAAACATCTGAGGTTTCTTGTACTATAATTGTCAATAGTCATATCCTGTATTTCATTCACAAATGTGTGTTTGTGTCTTGTAGGCAACTAAGAATACAAAAAAGAGAAGCTTCTAATATTTTGAGGGAATTAAAGTCACAGATTAATACAAAAACTACAAGACTGAACATCAACAGAGACGATATTTGGAGTAGTGCCTTAAAAGGATTCAGAGGGCGAAACTTCAATCCTGCAAACACTATGGAAATAAAATTCACAAATTGCAAGGATAAAACAGAGACATACACTTTTCATGGATCAAAGCATGAGTTTTTCCAGTTACTAATGCTTCACCTTAAGATCTCGTCATTATTTGAGGGCTCTTCCTCAAAGAACTTATCTCTTGATTCTCAGGGTAAATACAGCATGAATTTTACAATAAAACATAGTTCTGTCAAAAGTAATTTTCAATATAATAAACAACTGAAAAAATCCTATTAATTCTGATAAGATATGACCAGGAGCCCCACAAAATAGAATTAGAAGTGCACCAAACTAATTTTTCTTTACTCTTTTTAAAATGTATATTTTGGGGTGAGAACTGGGCAATAAAAAAAGTTGTCTGAGTTCTTTCCTACAGGTTGTTACCTCCCTTAACTAGGACTGTGGTCTAGCAGACCACAGATGTTCCTGGACCACAGAGCCCAGGTATAGGGAGGTCGGGCTGTGGGGCAGGAGCAGCAGGGTAGGCTGGCAACTCAGCCGGGAGCCTCGTAGGGATGGAGAGCGGGGCAGAGGAGCAGCAGGGAGTTCCAGCCCCTGTGGCTGAACAGTAGCAAAGGACGGACAGCGACAGCTGCAAAGCTCCGGCCGTAAAGCTTGGGGTCCAGCAATGGCAGCTGTGAAGTTACGGCTCCAGCTGTGGAGTTTGGAGGTGGTGGCAGTAGCCACAGAGCTCTGGACCTGGTGGTAGCCACAGAGCTCCAGCCTGGGAGGCCATGGCCATGCAGGCAGCAGCAGAGCTGGGCTGGAGTCCTAGCCGGGCGCAGCAGGGCAATACAACTCATGTTCAGATGGGCCTTTCCTCGTCTGGCAAACCCTCTTGTTCGGGACCTGTCAGGTCTCGAGAGTGCTAGACGAAGGAGGTCCAACCTGTATTGACTTGGTGTGACCAGAATATTTGATACAGGTCAGATCTCCCTTGTATGGCACCCTCAGGATCTGAGTGTTCCTGAACAACAGAGTTTGCCAGATGAGGGGAGGTTAAGGCTCCCCTACCCAGCTGTAGGCTCTGCTTCCGGCTAGGGCTGCACTCCCTGCTGTCTGCTGCTGTCTCCTTCCTCCATACCATACTAGGCCTGGCCAGGGCTACATCCCCCACTGTGCCAGCCCTGGACAGGGGCCGACCCCGCTGCCTCCAGCAGGGGTTGCACCTCCTCCCCCACAGCGCCAGCCCAGGTGGCATGCCCAGCTGACTCTAGCCCTGACTGGGGCTGAGTTCCCCACCGCCAGCCCTATCCAGGACTCCACTCCTGCTCCCCACAACCCCGACCTAGGCTGGGTTCCTGGCCTCCAGCCCCGCTGGCTCCAGCCCTGACGGGCTGTGCTCCTTGCTGGGTTCCTGGCCTCCAGCCCCGCTGTTTCCAGCCCTCACGGGCTGTGCTCCTTGCCGCCAGCCCTAGCCAGGGCTGTGCTCTCCATGGCATTTGCCTCACTGGGGCTGAACTCCCTACTACTAGCCCAGCCCAGGCTGTGCTTTTGAACCTGGACAGCCAGGGCTCTCTGATCCAACAATATTTGTGGTCCTGTAGGACCACGACTGTTACAGAATCAGTGTCCCGGGTTTTAAATGTTCAACGTGTAGTAATATTTCCATATGGATGTAGATTTACAATCAAACTTGAAACTTCTCTGGACCTGAGTAAATGGAACTTTTCTCAAACAGGTACCCTTTCTTCTTTTCACTTTCCCTTCCCTCTATTTCTCTTTCTCTCCCCTCCACTCTGTTTATTACTCCTCCACAGCTGTCTGAAGTGCTTCTTCCATGCCTCCGTACTGACAGCTGTGTAAGGGAGAGAAGGAAAGAGCACACCACTGTGATTGGGCTTGGCTTCATTGGGGGCAGAATGATGGGGCAGGGAGCAAGTTCCTCCTTCATCTGGTCATTTCCATGAATTTTTGTCTATTTTCTGTCTCTGAGATGTGACCAACCTGATGGCTGTGCTCCTTGTGTTGAGAGAAACTTAATTACAGTATAAAAGTTTGTCTTGTATGCATATTAATATCAGAGGGTAGTGATAATTGTTGCAGATCACAGGTCATTATTAATTCAAATATACTTTATTTACAGCTATAAAAGAGAATTTATACTATGAAGCTGGCAAAATGATTGCAGTTTCTTTGGTTCACGGTGGTCCACCTCCTGGCTTCTTTTCCAAAACTCTCTTTAATTGTCTTGCTTATGGACCAGAGAATGTGAAACCAACAGAGGAAGATGTTGCAGATTCTGATGTAGCACAAACAATAAATATGGTAAATGAACTGTCACACCCATAGTGTTCTCTTGCTTTGGAGCCTTGATATGCTAGTTGGATTTAGACTTTGGATAGGCGTGTTTCTGGCAAGTATTGACAAATAGCATATGATTGATCAAATTCAGTGCATGATGATTCTTTTAACATAATCTGTATCTTGTTGGCAATACATATTCCTCAGCCAAAGATGCTCAGAAACTAACATGATAGGACTCATAGAAGTACTTGCTAGGGAGAGATTATTGATTCCGGACTTCTGCCTTTTACATTTAATGATGAAATATATATAAAGCAAAAAAAACCCCAGTAATTGTTTTGTTTCCTACTTAATGATGAAATATATATAAAGCAAAAAAAAAAACCAGTAATTGTTTTGTTTCCTATTGTAGATAAAATCATCAAGAACTCTGGCCCACTTACAATCTACAATAAGTGACTGCTATGAATATCTTACTGTTACTGGATGTTTAAGACCTATGACAACTTTGTCTGACAAGGATATGTTGGTGAACGACATACTGATCTATCATGTAATTAAGCGAGTTCTTTCACCTTTTGAAAGGTTTGTTTGGTTGTGAAAATTTAAAGTATTCATTTTTACTTTTTCTTAAACTATTGAGAAGTCTCATTGAAACTGCTATACTTAGTTGTGGAATAAGGAACTACTCGATGTAGGAGAGTAGTGTATGCAAATTTGTGTGTGCAGATTTTGTGTACAGTTGCATGTACGTTTTTGGGCATGGAACCATGCACGCTGAAAGTTAGGCTTTGTATTGCATTATCCATTTTTCTAAAGTTGTTTTGGGTAGCCAAATAAAGTTATATTGGATTTCTACCCACCCAACTCCCCTCCCTTGAAACTTACTTTAGATTTTTATATACCTATCATATTCAGTTAAAACCAAAGTTTGAAACATAATCTGTCAACGTATAGTAGAAAATTCAGATTTGTAAACTTGTCAATCACTATAAACTTCTCTTATCTAGTAATAGCTTCAAAGAAAACGAGAGAGACCACTATGGAAGAAATTAAGGAAGCTCAATATTTAAGAATTGTATAGCTTTTCCTAAAAGAATGAATCCCCTAAAGTTATAAATTTCTAAATATATTATTTTATAAAACCTAAGATGAACAGATGTCCCCTCAATTTTTTGAAAAAAATAAATTAAAAGCAAATATTCTCAGGCAGTCAAGGAACCTGAAAATGACAGATTTCATTGTGGTTTTTATTGTGCAAGCTAAGAGAGATACAAAAAAACCCTTTCTACTTGTAATAGGATTCTCAAAACTGTTACATTTTAAACAATCTAAACTAGTGTTGGCAACATAGTGTTTTTCTAATTTAAATACAAGTGTTCATTAAAAAAATAACCTATTTCATAGACAAGAATCTCATAATTACAGAAAATGTGTATGTACCACAGAAACTATGTATGTACCATATTCCATAAAACAAAAGGTATTGTGAAACATTTTATGGCAAAATTTGTTCTGTAGAGACCTTCTAATGCCACCTGTTTTATTATTCCAGCTTTAGACAAGGTTTGAAAACTCTTGGTGTATTGGAAAAATTACAGTCTCATCCAGATGCATTCTCTAGCATATTATGTCACAAACCTGAGAGACTTTCAGCAAAAATTCTTGGTGATCTCTTCACAATCCATTGCGTATCAAATTTAAACAGAGAGAAAGGTGTTGATTTCTGGATGGGTTATTTACAAGATGTGGAAGGTAAGTAAACTCCGTTCTTCCACCATAGTCAATCCAGTTAGCCACAGGAATGTTTTTTTGGTTCAATCTTTGCTCTGCATCACCATCTCTGATTTTCCGCACTGAAAGAAAAATGTTATCTTTGTCTCTTAGTTCAGTTTATTTCTCTGCAAAACACTGATTCCTTGTTAATCACTGTTCTTCACCAAAATGCCAATGTCTAAGTAATTTGTGAGTAACTGAGAATGACTGACTTGTATACCATTCAACGTTTTTTCTTTTAGGTGGGGAGTCTGCAGCAACACTAGAAGACATTCTGGTTTTTGCAACTGGTACCAGTTCTATCCCACCTATTGGTTTTGAGCCTGAACCCTCAGTTGAATTTATGTATATAAAATACCCTGTTGGAAACAGACAACCTAACTGCTTACAACTTCCAATAACAAAGACATATGAACAGTTTAAAAACAAAATGGACTTTGCCATCAGCAGCACACTAAGACTAACAGGAGTATAAATATTTTTTGTTACTAAAGCCTATATAGCAAATTCAATATTTCTGTTTGTGGGATGTACCTTCTTACAAGCTGCTATTACATTTGAGTATTGATGGCCTCTGTTCCCGTCCCAGTTTTTTTTCCCCCGGTTTACATGAAATTGCTTTTGTTGTTTGGCCATAATATTAACTTCCAAACTAGAGTATCAGATATTTACAATATTTTTGTAACTGGTCATTTTAAGCTACAAAACTGGGGGTGAGGGGAGCCCAAGTTGTATTTGTTTAATCCAGTGTTTCTCAACCTTTATTTATAAAGTACCACTTTAAAAAAAAAATTAAGTATCCCCAGTACCTACAGTTGCAGACACAATTTTTTTCTACTATTGCAACACATTTGTTTAAATAACTTAATCGTAGCTGAGCAGGCGATGAAATTTTTGTGTGTAAAAAGTACAAAAATAATGAAGTGCTGTAAAACACAAAACAAAAATTCAGTTTTCTCCAAATTTCAGTTCTGTTGACATACCCCTCAGACTTCTCTCAAGTACCTTTAAGGGTACTCGTACCACTGGTTGAGAAACACTGATTTAATCCATATGCTTACAAATCAAACTTGTTCTGAGTTTATTTTTATGTTTTTCTACAAGAAAAAAAACAAGTCACAAGAGCAATGGGCTGAAAATAATTTAAATCTGAAAAGTCAGTAGTACTTACTTTTGTGTACCGAACTTTTGATAATGATATTACAAGTTGTAGAAATTAAAATTGATATGAAGACATTTTTAAGCTCAAATGGGGTATAACATTTTAATATCTGTTGTCATGTTCCTTTTGATCTTGATTTCAAAAGGAACTCGCAGCTTAGCACTTAAAAATTGCCAGTTTTGCTGTAGATAAACATGGTTACCTAAGTATTTTCAGCGCTATAACCTTATCCTGTATGTAAGTATGCTTAACACTTTGAAGTTACATGATTTATCAAAATCAAAGCAGGCACATGTTTATGGTGATCACTCTAGACATTTATAATATTTTTGAAATAATGGTGATGGGTCACTGCATCACTTCTATACATGTTTTTTCAGTTTTATAACATTAATATTTTCCTTTTAAAATACTAATGATGTGTTAAGTACACAAAAGACAGAAAATGTGGCGTTTAAGGGTATTATACCTTTGTAAGAATGAATCATAATTCCAGGAAGACTGAGGCAAAATAATGAAGTTTTGAGAACTAAATTTTTGTCATTTGCACATAGATTTTTTAATATATCAGTGTTACACTATAAAATATAGAATCAAAGAAATAAAATTTGATGAAGAAAATCTGAAAGTTTGACTCTTAAAAATTGTGATTTAAAAATTAAATGTGAAATTCTTAGCCTTACAGCTATTTCTACAGTTTATTCCCAATGTTGCTCATTAGAACAAGAAGTTCACATTTTACTTGCACTGGATTGAGTAATTTTAAAAACAATTAGCACCATAATTGCTTATTATTATTTCTCCTGATCATTGCCCCAAAACTCCATTAGTCAGTAAACACTTCCTTTCTTTGCCCTCATGTTAAACACTGTTTTTTTCTCAACTGTTACTGCCTTTTGAACACCATCAACTATAGAAGATACATTTAACAAACTTAATATTTACAATTCTACAGTAAATTGTGGTACCATATAATCCCATTTTCTACTCAAATATACCGCAGTTGCCATGGGTATCTGGATCAATTCATGTTTAATTTTTACTGAGATGCACTGTAGCTCACAATTAAGATAGTACAGGAAACATTTTTATGTTAATTTTAATTTTTTTTCTAATTAAGAGGAGGATGAGTAACTTTATAATGTATCTATACAGAAATATGTTGACGAGAAATAAGATTGTATACTTAAAGTTACTTGATTTGTTTTACTTTTTGGATATTTCTCTTAAAGCTGTTTTTTTTTTTTAAATGTATTCAATCATTGGAAAATAGATTGTAGATCTTATTCTTTGCCAGCTGTCCTTTGTGACTTAGGTTTTTTTCTATTAATTTGATTATCTACTCTATATCTCAAACAAAGACCATCTTATTTATATTAAAACATGAATTCTTAACTATTCTGATTCCTAAAAATATTTTAAAAAATCAAATATTAGCCACTTTGAAGCAAGCTCACTCATAACAAATACAGGCAGTCCCTGGGTTACGTACAATATAGGGACTGTAGGTTTGTTCTTAAGTTGAATCTGTATGTAAGTCGGAACTGGCGTCCAGATTCAGCCGCTGCTGAAACTGATCAGTTTCAACAGTAGCTGAATCTGGATGCCAGGTCTGACTTACATACAGATTCAACTTAAGAACCCCAGGCATCCCCAAGTCAGCTGCTGCTGAAACTGATCAGCGGCTGATTCCAGGAAGCCCGAGGCACAGCTGCTCTGTCCCGGGCTTCCTGGAGTCAGCCGCTGGTCCGTTTCAAAAGCCACTGAATTGGG